TAATGTGGATGACTTCTCTATAGCTTACACAGGCTTTGACTGTCGCCCTGTAGCAGCCTCCCTTTTGTCCAAGCTGGATTATGGCGACCAAGTCTATTCTGTGGCTTCTGCAACTTTTTCTAAGTTAGATCCCCTTCATCATCAGGGTCTACGTTTGTGCCTTGGTGCTTTTCGTTCATCCAGTTGAAATCCTCTACACTGAGGCGAATGTTCCTTCCTTCACTGATCATCGTGATGCTCATTGCCTTTGTTACTTTGTCTGCTATCATGACCTTCATGTTCCTTCTACATATAGGTTGGTCTCAGACGTTAGTAGAAGCCCGTTATTTGTTCGGCGCCTCTGCTTACTCTGACCATTTTCTCTTCTTCACTCCGATCTTCTCTCCAGTTGCCTCCCTTGTATGTTTATTTAGCGTCTGCCTTTTCCCTTCCCCCTTGGGAGGTTCTGACGGTTTGTGTCTGTTCTCCCCTACTGCCATGCACCAAAGCTCTCCTACCTATGGCTGCTTCTCCTCCTCACTGTTTTTCTTGATCAATTCCGGTCACATGCTCATGCCGTCGCTGTTTATACAGATGGTTCTAAATCTTATGGTGTTGGGTTTGCGACAGTGTTCCCTGATGATGTCATCCGAGGCTATTAAGACTCGGCTAGTATTTTTAACGCCAAGTTGTATGCCATCCTCGTAGCACTTCTCTATTACATGTGTCTCCGTTTGTGATCATTTCAAATTCCCTCAACATTTTACAAGCCATTAAACAATTTGATTCCCCTCATCCACTGGTCTTTCGTATTCATCTATGGTTGTGCCGTGTAGCTAGCAAAAACAAAGATGTCATTTTCTGTTGGGTCTCTGGACGCAATGTGCAGGGGCAATAAACAGGCAGATGCTGCTGCACGATCAGCGGTAAGTGATCTTCCAGTTTCCTGTAGAGGTATTCCGTTCAGGGTTTACTTTACAGTCATCTCTGCTCGTCTTTGCAGCCGTTGGCAACAATGGTGGCCGGACATGCACCATAAGAATTACACTATTAAACCACTTTTAGGTTTGTGGCCATCTTACCACCGTTGCCGTACTCGGGAAACTACACTCTCCCATCTCCACATTGGCCATACTTGCCTTACCCATTGGTATCTCATGGAGCAACACCTTATTCCTCTGCGAGGTTTGTCGGGTCCCTATTTCGGTTCACTTTCTTGTGGATTGTCCTGTTTACCAGTGAGCTTGCAGGATTTACTTCCACCGATGCCACCACCCTACCTCTCTTGCCTTATCTCCCCTTCTTGCAGATGGCCCTGCCTTTGACTTGCAATCACTTTTTGAATTTTCGTCAGCAAATGCTATACTCTACGAACTTTGACACACAGCCCTTAGCATCCTTTCCAGTCCTTTTCTTCCCTTACCTCTGATCCCCTCTTCACCTTGTTCATATTATTATTATTATAATCAAAAAGATGTGCTAAGCCACAAGGGCTATACAGCACCTTGTTTATAGCACTGTGCTATAAACAACACTAGCACTATTTTCTGCCCCGCAGCACTACATGACCCTTGTCAGTTTAGTGCTTTATTTGATTATGATAATTAGGGGCAGGAGATTTGAATTTCAGAGATTTTTAAACTTTAAAGATGTGGGAAGACGAGATGATATAGTCAGGGGTCATGCAGATGGAGGAACGTGCAAGTGAGATGTTGACGAAGACAAGACAGTAGTAGACAATGAATTAATAACATCAGAGGCAAGGGCTGCATAACGGATGGACAGAGAGGTACTACAAAGGAAGCTGTGGAAGTAGGTACACCAGAGTTTTGAGGCCATCTAGTAACTCAGGCATAGGAAAGCAGTGGGAGTCTTTCCTGAAGTCAGGGATGAGAAACTGGCATGGTGTAAGAGAAACCCTCTTTCTCCTTTAGAAAATGGATCTCCCTTTCTCTTAAGAAAACCAGGCAATGGCAGAATTTGCAGGTTGTACCTCTTTGCAAATAAGGCTAGTGGGAGGCTGGCTGCAGGATAGATTGCTATGGACAGCTGCACCACAGACTGGGTATTCTGCCACTGACCTACAATATTTAGCTGGCTGGCCAAAGTGCCAGCAATTTTTACGCTTGTGGAGTAGGAATTAATTCCAGTATTTATAAATTGCATAGGTTAGTGGATGAGTTTGGGAGTGTGTGTAAAGGTAGAAAGTTGAAAGTGAACATAGAAAAGAGTAAGGTGATGAGGGTATCAAATGATTTAGAAAAAGAAAAATTGGATATCAAATTGGGGAGGAGTAGTATGGAAGAAGCGAATGTTTTCAGATACTTGGGAGTTGACGTGTCGGCGGATGGACTTAGGAAGGATGAGGTTAATCATAGAATTGACGAGGGAAAAAAGGAGAGTGGTGCGTTGAGGTATATGTGGAGTCAAAAAACGTTATCTATGGAGGCAAAGAAGGGAACGTATGAAAGTATAGTAGTACCAACACTCTTATATGGGTGTGAAGCTTGGGTTGTGAATGCAGCAGCGAGGAGGCGGTTGGAGGCAGTGGAGATGTCCTGTCTAAGGGCAATGTGTGGTGTAAATATTATGCAGAAAATTCAGTGTGTGGAAATTAGGAGAAGGTGTGGAGTTAATAAAAGTATTAGTCAGAGGGCTGAAGAGGGGGTTGTTGAGGTGGTTTGGTCATTTAGAGAATGGATCAAAGTAGAATGACATGGAGAGCATTTAAATCTTTAGAAGGAAGGCGGGGTAGGGGTCGTCCTCGAAAAGGTTGGAAGGAAGGCTAGTATCTCTGCCTGTGGACAAGAAGGGCATAAGTGTCTACCTTAAGAATTGGAAGGTCCTGGAGCTCAAGTTGCTCCATAATGCCTATATCACAAGTTAGAAAAATCATTCAACGATGATATGCAGAAGGATAACGGTTCTGCAGCAAGAATTTAGGGAAGAATGCTTATGAATCGTGACAGTAGTAGTGTCGCCAGTGGAGCTAAGAATGGAAATATTACTAGCATTTTTGTATGGTGACAATACACACACCACTGAGAACATGAAAAGAAAATGTTCCGTCCAACACGCTGTCAGAGTGCTTTGCTAATACTATGGTCGGAAAGGTATTATTATTATTATTATTATAATCAATGGGGAAGCTCTAAACCCAGAGGATTATACAGCACCTTGGGGGGGGGATGTGGAAGGCATTCAGGCTTAATTCGGGGAACTGGAGCACAGATCCAATTCCCTAAATCAAGAGCCCCTCACCAACATCAAGGAACCTTCCTTGAGGGGTTGGAAAGGTAGTCTGCAAGTGTGATTTGTTGAAGAGTAAGGAATTTTATCCAAGAGTTGTCTTGAAGCACAGATTGTAGGTGGGAGAGATTGTCAAACAGGTTGTTTCTGAGAATAAGAGCAAGGGGCAGCAGTAATAGGGCTCACTTCATCAGTTACAGGTCAATGTCACTTGGACAGTTGTCTAGAGTTGGTCCATCCTTTGTACGAATGAAACAAAAACTGATGCACTCTAGAAAATTAATCAATAGGCAGAATTAAGTGTTGGAGCTCATCCTACCATGCCTTTCAACTGAAGCATTTGTGAATTGCTGTAAGCCCTATACAGGTTTAACATGTTTTGAATGTGATGTGCACTAGATTATTATAATCAAAAAGAAGAGCTAAACCACAAGGGCTATACAGCGCTGCAGGGCAGGAAGGAAGCAAGGGTATCAGGTGGCAAAAGGGAGATGGATGAGTGATAGGTTACAGAGAACAGCGGGGCAGTGGATGGTGAAAGGGTAGAGGGCAGCAAGAGATTGAGGTAGAAAGGTATCATCATCAGAGTTTGTGGAGTAAATCAGTCATTGTCAAGAAGTCAATGACAGTCAGGATAAAAGGAGGGTCCATCAGCAAGAAGGGAAGGTAGAGAGTAGTAGAGCGGGGACGACGATGGAGGTAAATTCTGCGTGCTCGTTGATAGAGAGGGCAGTCTAACAGAATGTGGCTAATCGATACTGGAACTTGACACTGCTCACAGAGGAACAGGGTGTCTCTCCATGAGATACCCGTGAGTAAGACGAGTGTGGCCAATGTGAAGGCGGGAGAGAGTAGTCTCCCAACCTCGGCACTGATGACAAGAAGACAGCCAGTAACCTATGCTTGGCTTAATAGAATGAAGTTTGTTACCGAGCAGAGTTGACCAACGTTGTTGCCAACGGGTGTGAAGGTGGGTAGCTATTACAGCAAAATAGTCCGGAAATGGTGGAACACCTCTATGTGAAATTGGTAGGTCATGTACTGCTGACCGTACAGCAGTGTCTGTCTGTTCATTGCCCTGTACATCAACATGACCAGGGACCCAACAAAAAACAATATCTTTATGCTTGGTAGAGATACGGTGTAGCCAAAGTTGGATACGGAGAACTAGGGGGTGAGGTGTATCAAATTTCCGTATAGCCTGTAGAGCACTAAGGGAGTCTGAGACAACCACAAATGATGACACGGGCATAGATGCGATACAAATAAGTGCTGCAAGAATGGCATACAATTCAGCAGTAAAAATGCTAGCCGAAGATAGTAGATGCCCTCGCACGATGCTGTCCGGAAACACTGCTGCGAATCAGACGCCGTCAGAAGACTTAGAGCCATCTGTGTACACTGTGATGGCATGAGAATGAGAGTGGAAGTGGTCAAGAAAAAAAAAGCGGGAAGCCACCGTAGGCAGTTGGGCTTTCGAGCAAGGGAGTGAGAAAGAACAGCTGGAACTTCCTAGGGGAGTAGGGAAAAGTGAGATGCTACATGAACATATAAAGGTGGTAACTGAAGGGAAGATGAGTGAATGTAGGCAAGAGAGAAGGGACGGAGCAAACAGGGGCGGCGAACAAATAATGTCTACTAATATCGGTGACCATTCTATAAATGGAAGGATTGCAGAGATCGTGAGAGCGTACATAGTAGCGAAGGGGAAGGGCATCACGGCGATCAGACAAGGTGTGCACTACAGAAATCACTGAAGAGTAAAATGCAAGGAATTTTTGTCATTTATTTTAGGCAATACCTGTACAAGAATAAAGATATATTCCAAAATGTGTGCTGGTTATTTTCTTTGCAATGCACTGTACAAATTTTTACTGATGATTAGCATTGTAATATGATCAATATTCATTTGACCAAATAATTAACTGCAATTCTCAGAAAATATAGCAAATATATCTGCTTGACATTTTTATACTTTTAATATCTAAGAGTACTACATATATATCCTTGATTGTCTCCAAATTTGAGTATGTTGAGCACTACTGAAGATCTAAAGCTCAAGTGCATCACATTTACTCATAGTTACCACAGGGAGATGTGCTTATTTAAAGACCATTCAGCTTCACTGAAATTCACTTATTCTGTTGATCTTTTTTATCTAATGTACTGACAACATTCACTACTGGAAGTGAATAGCTTCATAAGTAATTACCTATTATAAAAGATAGAAAAAATGCCCAACACAAGACAGTTATCAAATGCTAAAAAAAATAATTAACCAAAAATGTCAACTGGCAACCATCATCACCATAAAATATTTGGCAAAAATCCAGTTACGACCGACTATATAGACTACCGGTGATTTGTAATTATACAAGTGTATAACCGAGTATCGATAGCATCTAGATTCTGGCAATTGTAAATCCAAATTTCTCTCAAAATACAAATTATATATTACAGTTTAGAAGCCATTCAACATAAGAGAAACCCATTTTTGTTGCTCAATACTGATTCTATTCCATGCTGCACTTTCTAAAAAAAAAAAAAAAAAAAAAGTGGGATAAAATAAACACTAAGAAACTAGTTATTTAAACACATCTCAGTAATATGCTTACAAGTATTATTATATTCACAAATGCACTAAACCCATGTTTACATGTAAATAATTTCTACTTGTGTTTGTAATTTGTTTAACTCTATGGAACTTGGAGCACTGTTGAACAACTTTGATGATTTTTATGTTCTTTAAACACCAGAGGAAAATTCATGTCAAATAATTCTTAAATGAACCCCTAGAGGTTTAGCAATTTATGAATTTAATAATTTTTAATAAGCATTAATCTGAATGTCTCACTTTTAGATGATTATGCACATTTAAAAAGCAGGAATGAAAGATACAAGCTATATACCTTATATGTGCAGGGTGAATATTTCTCTCGCTACAATATAATTTGTAGTCTGGTGTGTCACTGTTATTTAATTTTACATGTAAATCAGGCCTTTTCCTGTTTGAGCAAAAGGCTATGACAGTTTGAAGTGTAGAAAACTTATTGCCAGACATCTGAGACTGCAGTCACAGGGCTATCTAAAAGAAATCATCAAATTTTATGTATAAACTACAGGCAATAAACTACAGTAACCTTATCCTAGAGACCTTACAACATGATTATAAAAAACACGATGTTCTACACTGTTTACCACTTGCATTATTTCTTAAAAGTTGTGTGATTCGTCATGTCTGTTGTATGTCTGCCTGACTTCCCTGTGTAATAAGTTCTGCTGCGTATGTTGGCATTCATTTACCAATTTTCACTTGTCTTGCAACACAAACTGAATTACTTAAGAATTGTATTCTTGAAGAGCTAACAAGTTGTGCAAAATTCTTCTACATTGGTAACAATGTAAAAGTACATGTATACTATTATTCACTTTTCAAAGTACAGAGATAAACCAATATTAAAAGTTCATATTTAAATTTATAAAGAATAAATTCCAGTATTAAAAAAAATTAAAATGTGTTGTGGTAATGATTATTTACATTTTTTAAAAACATTCCCTTTGTTCATGGTTAGAAAAAATAATTCAATACCAGTAGTTTGAAGATAAAATACAATATGCTGAACTTAGCTATACTTGTAGTATCTGTTTATGCTTATATACATATGATCTATGGTCTTTCCAATACCCACCATGACTTGAGAAGCACTGAAATCATACAAAGCCACTTAAAAGTTTAGTTCTACATTTATAAACAGCAACAAAAATGAGTAACTGTTAAGGATATTAAAAATCATGAGTAGTTGCCATAGCCAGAATCTGGCATCCCACTCTGCATACCTACAACTTACACACCACAGCACATTAAGGTTACATGTGCACATCCCAGGTGCCAAAACATTATAAAGCAATGAGTGATTATGAATACAAAATTATTAGTTACATAATTTCACCTCTGCTCTTTTATGCTTCAGCTGAAATTAGTGGAATTGTGGCTTACACAACAATGTAGAAATGCTAGAGCTGCATGAAGACAGGAATGCCACAACAGACCAGACCAGCATCAAGAAGCAACAGGCACGGGAGATATTGTCCAAGAAAGTCTGCCCATCAGGTATACTTACAAAATTATGAGCAATAAATATTTACATAAAAGTGAACTTTTACATATTCATCCTCAGGAATTTGGTAATCTGATACATAAATTATAAATATAGTATATGAAATGAAAGATTTAAACATACTCCTTTTAAAACATGTTTGACTGGCAGTATTACAAGTGCAAGAATCTTGGTGTGGGCTGGGGTGACGAGATAGAACAACAGAGGGAGTGGGAGCAGGGAAGGTTCGATTCCACACACCACAGACAAATCTCCTTAGGTATTGCACAAACACCCATGGTCATATCCATGCAAGCAAGTTGAAAAAGGCATCTATTTATGTGGCCTCTAATACCTCCTGCTATCAAATGAACTCTACCTCATTGAAACAAAATAAAATCACAAGTTAATAAAAATATTTAGAAATACCAAAATAGATTCTATATAACACGGATGAAATGTCTCGAAAAGCATAAGGTACTCCTTTTGTATACACACAAATAAATTGCAAGAAAAACCTGTGTAGACACAGATTTTCTTTCGCAGTCTGCGTAACACCGATAAAAATTCTGCCTTAGCAAGAAAATTTTAATTTCACTCGAATAAACTAAATAAGGCAGAAACTTGTCATCACATTTACACTTGTGACAAAATAACTGAATATTTATAAAGGAGATAATGATGCATGTATTTTTTTGGTCAGTAAGAATCAATTATTCTCTATGGCTATGTTAGCTACATGTCACATACTGTAGTAAACACAAGGAAAAGTCCTAGCTACACTCGGTTATTTATCAAACAAAATAAAAAGCTTTCCAATATGCCTTGTACAAAATCACTTTTATGAAACGAAATTAATTAGTATTTTCACTTTCAATAGCGTTAAACATCTGACTGGTATATGCACTCATGACACCAACCATAATCACTGGCCCAAAGTAACACATGGCACACAATAGTTCACACAATTTCTTCATTCAATAATCATATACATATTCTAGGCACTGTAAATACCACTTGTGTGGTGAGACAGAGTCCAACTGTGCACAGCATCAAACATATTCCTACCAAAATATTGTTTACATTCAGTCTCACAGACATTCTTGTTTTAGTATAAGTTTCAGCATGTTTGAGTACAACTGACTACAGTGTCCTGCCAGCAATATAATACTTTGGTGCAAACACTTATCCATCTAGGAATGTGACAGGTGGGTCATGAAGCCACATTTCACATGACCCTAATTATCATAGTAAGTTGGGTTGCAGGGAGCCCACCTTCTAAAAAAGACCACAGTCCTTGAGATTATTCTTGATGATTACATCGGTTACAGCATCAAACACAAACTGGAATATATAAAGAATAAAAATCATGAATACTGTATGAATTTCTAAATTGTTATAACTATTATTTAATCTTGAATAATTCTTATCTATACAATATTAATTTACATGGGTTAGATAAAGTGCATTAAAACCTTTCAAGAATATAACAATTCATTATGGAGATTCTGAGAAATTACAAAGGATGGTGAAGGGTTTGGGAAGCTGTGTAAAAGGAAACAAAGTGAACATATAAAAGAGCAAGGAAATGGGAGTAAAAAAAAAAAGTACTGTAACTCAGACTGGTGGGAGGAAATATAGAGGAAGTGAGAGAGTTTAAATACAGAATTGCAAGTGGATGTGTCAGCAGATGAATTTAAGAAAGATAGGCGAGCTACAGAATAAGTGAAAGAATGGTATATGGATCACTGAGGCATCTGTGAGAGAAAGTTTATCTATGGAGTTTACCTGGAGAGAGTTCCAGGGGTCAACGCCCCCGCGGCCCGGTCTGTGACCAGGCCTCCTGGTGGATCAGAGCCTGATCAACCAGGCTGTTACTGCTGGCTGCACGCAAACCAACGTACGAGCCACAGCCCGGCTGGTCAGGAACCGACTTTAGGTGCTTGTCCAGTGCCAGCTTGAAGACTGCCAGGGGTCTGTTGGTAATCCCCCTTGTGTATGCTGGGAGGCAGTTGAACAGTCTCAGGCCCCTGACACTTATTGTATGATCTCTTAACGTGCTAGTGACACCCCTGCTTTTCATTGGGGGGATGTTGTATCGTCTGCCAAGTCTTTTGCTTTCGTAGTGAGTGATTTTCGTGTGCAAGTTCGGTACTAGTCCCTCTAGGATTTCCAGGTGTATATAATCATGTATCTCTCCCTCCTGCATTCCAGGGAATACAGGTTTAGGAACCTCAAGCGCTCCCAGTAATTGAGGTGTTTTATCTCTGTTATGCGCGCCGTGAAAGTTCTCTGTACATTTTCTAGGTCGGCAATTTCACCTGCCTTGAAAGGTGCTGTTAGTGTGCAGCAATATTCCAGCCTAGATAGAACAAGTGACCTGAAGAGTGTCATCATGGGCTTGGCCTCCCTAGTTTTGAAGGTTCTCATTATCCATCCTGTCATTTTTCTAGCAGATGCGATTGATACAATGTTATGGTCCTTGAAGGTGAGATCCTCCGACACGATCACTCCCAGGTCTTTGACGTTAGTGTTTCGCTCTATTTTGTGGCCAGAATTTGTTTCGCTCTATTTTGTGGCCAGAATTTGTTTCGCTCTATTTTGTGGCCAGAATTTGTTTCGCTCTATTTTGTGGCCAGAATTTGTTTTGTACTCTGATGAAGATTTAATTTCCTCGTGTTTACCATATCTAAGTAACTGAAATTTCTCATCGTTGAACTTCATATTGTTTTCTGCAGCCTACTGAAAGATTTGGTTGATGTCAGCCTGGAGCCTTGCAGTGTCTGCAATGGAAGACACTGTCATGCAGATTCGGGTGTCATCTGCAAAGGAAGACATGGTGTTGTGGCTGACATCCTTGTCTATGTCAGATATGAGGATGAGGAACAAGATGGGAGCGAGTACTGTGCCTTGTGGAACAGAGCTTTTCACTGTAGCTGCCTCGGACTTTACTCTGTTGACTACTACTCTCTGTGTTCTGTTAGTGAGGAAATTATAGATCCATCGACCGACTTTTCCTGTTATTCCTTTAGCACGCATTTTGTGCGCTATTACGCCATGGTCACACTTGTCGAAGGCTTTTGCAAAGTCTGTATATATTACATTTGCATTCTTTTTATCTTCTAGTGCATCTAGGACCTTGTCGTAGTGATCCAATAGTTGAGACAGACAGGAGCGACCTGTTCTAAACCCATGTTGCCCTGGGTTGTGTAACTGATGGGTTTCTAGATGGGTGGTGATCTTGCTTCTTAGGACCCTTTCAAAGATTTTTATGATATGGGATGTTAGTGCTATCGGTCTGTAGTTCTTTGCTGTTGCTTTACTGCCCCCTTTGTGGAGTGGGGCTATGTCTGTTGTTTTTAGTAACTGTGGGACGACCCCCGTGTCCATGCTCCCTCTCAATAGGATGGTAAAGGCTCGTGATAGGGGCTTCTTGCAGTTCTTGATGAACACGGAGTTCCATGAGTCTGGCCCTGGGGCAGAGTGCATGGGTATGTCATTTATCGCCTGTTCGAAGTCATTTGGCGTCAGGATAACATCGGATAGGCTTGTGTTAACCAAATTCTGTGGCTCTCTCAAAAAATTCATTTTGATCTTCGACTCTCAGTCTGGTTAGTGGCTTGCTAAAAACTGAGTTATATTGGGATTTGAGTAGCTCACTCATTTCCTTGCAAAAAAAGAGGAATGCAGAGTACAGTGAATCTTTTATTTGTAGGGGGGACGCATATGCTGTAAATAACACAGTGAGGAGGTTGGAGGCAGTTAGATCATGTTTAACATTTCTCCAATTTTTTTTTTTTAACAAGTCGGCCGTCTCCCACCGAGGCAGGGTGACCCAAAAAGAAGGAAAATCCCCAAAAAGGAAATACTTTCATCATCATTCAACACTTTCACCTCACTCACACATAATCACTGTTTTTGCAGAGGTGCTCAGAACACAACAGTTTAGAAGCATATACGTATAAAAAGAGACAACATATCCCTCCAAACTGCCAATATCCCAAACCCCTCTTTTAAAGTGCAGACATTTTACTTCCCATTTCCAGGACTCAAGTCCGGCTATATAAAAATAACCGGTTTCCCTGAATCCCTTCACTAAATATTACCCTGCTCACACTCCAACAGATCGTCAGGTCCCAAATACCATACGTCTCCAATTCACTCCTATCAAACACATTCATGCACGCCTGCTGGAAGTCCAAACCCCTCGCCCACAAAACCTCCCTTGCCCCTTCCTTCCAACCTTATCGAGGATGACCCTTACCCCACCTTCCTTCCCTTACAGATTTATACACTCTCCATGTCATTCTACTTTGATCCATTCTCTCTAAATGACCAAACCACCTCAACAACTCCTCTTCAACCCTCTGACTAATACTTTTATTAACTCCACACCTTCTCCTAATTTCCACACTCCGAATTTTCTGCATAATATTTACACCACACATTGCCCTTAGACAGGACATCTCCACTGCCTCCAACCGCCTCCTTGCTACTGCATTCACAACCCAAGCTTCACACTCATAAAAGTGTGTTGGTACTACTATACATGTACTTTCATACATTCCCTTCTTTTGCCTCCATAGATAACGTATTTTGTCTCCACATATACCTCAACGCACCACTCACCTTTTTTCCCTCGTCAATTCTATGATTAACCTCATCCTTCATAAATCCATCCGCCGACACGTCAACTCCCAAGTATCTGAAAACATTCACTTCTTCCATATTCCTCCTCCCCAATTTGACATCCAATTTTTCTTTATCTAAATCATTTGATACCCTCATCACCTTACTCTTTTTTATGTTCACTTTCAACTTTCTACCTTTACACACATTCCCAAACTCATCCACTAACCTTTGCAATTTTTCTTTAGAATCTCCCATAAGCACAGTATCATCAGCAAAAAGTAACTGTGTTAATTCCCATTTTGAATTTGATTCCCCATAATTTAATCCCACCGCTCTCCCAAACACCCTAGCATTTACTTTTACAACCCCATCTATAAATATATTAAACAACCATGGTGACATTACACATCCCTGTCTAAGACCTACTTTTACCGGGAAGTAGTCTCCCTCTCTTCTACACACCCTAACCTGAGCCTCACTATCCTCATAAAAACTCTTTACAGCATTTAGTAACTTACCACCTATTCCACATACTTGCAACATCTGCCACATTGCTCCTCTATCCACTATCATATGCCTTTTCTAAATCCATAAATGCAATAAAAACTTCCCTACCTTTATCTAAATACTGTTCACATATATGCTTCAATGTAAACACTTGATCTACACATCCCCTACCCACTCTGAAACCTCCTTGCTCATCCGCAATCCTACATTCTGTCTTACCTCTAATTCTTTCAATTATAACCCTACCGTACACTTTTCCTAGTATACTCAATAAACTTATTCCTCTATAATTTTTACAATCTCTTTTGTCCCCTTTCCTTTATATAAAGGGACTATACATGGTCTCCGCCAATCCCTAGGTACCTTCCCCTCTTTCATACATTTATTAAACAAAAGTACCAACCACTCCAACACTATATCCCCCCCCTGCTTTTAACATTTCTGTCATGATCCCATCAGTTCCAGCTGCTTTACCCCCTTTCATTCTACGTAATGCCTCGCGTACCTCCCCCACACTTACATTCTGCTCTTCTTCACTCCTAAAAGATGGTATACCTCCCTGACCAGTGCATGATTAGAACAAAATGCCACAGTAAAAATGGGCAAATGTATTAATATGAGTTAATGAAAAAAGTGTAGGTGAAGGAGGAAATCTGCGAGTCATGAGAAGTGGAAAATTTATAAAAAGCCAAAGACAAGGGCAAATGGAAGAGCATACCCCACTAAACATATCAGGACAATAAATAAGAGAGAAATATAATTGAGGTGTAGCCTTTTGACTAATATAGTACTGCATGACTCATACAGGTTTAATGCTTTTTAAAATTAATAAAATAATAATAATTATTAATAATAATTCTATCTGATCTAAGCATTTTATAAGAAAGGAAGCATGTATAAACAATAACAGCAAAATCCATCTAAGTCCACTCCATTCATAACAGTATATCCAATGAGGAGTACAAACTATTTTTTTAATGTGGCAGACTTCAAGAAGTGTTATTTCCATCCATACACAACAGCATACTTTAACCTTTCCAGGGTCGAGAGGCCCTCTCATAAACTTGTTCTCAGGGTCGAAAATTTATCAGAAAAAAAAAAATTTCTTATGAAAAGATAGAGAATCTTTTCCCGATCATAATGACACCAAAAGTATGAAATTTGATGGAAAACTTACGGAATTATGCTCTTGCAAAGTTACAGGTTTTGACGATGTTTACGCATCGGCGATTTCGCCCACTTTGGGCCCTATTTTCAGCCAATTCCACTGTACTAGTCGACAAAAATCATAACTATTTCACTAGAACTCCATTTTCTCTATCGAATGAGTATAAGAAACCACCCATTTACCAATTTCAACTATCCAATAAAGTGGTCAGAAATTAGCAATTTTGCCAATTTCACACAAATTTCAAGACGCCAATTTCCAAATAGGGTCAGAAATTTCCAAATAGGGTCAGAATAAACAAGACAGACATTCCTGGCACTAAAATAACATTTCCTCTGTTCATTAGTCATGTCCCCAGGCCCCTCTTACATTTCTTTTGCTTTCCACTTTGAAATTTTATTCTCACAAAAAATAGATTTACTGTTATGCAGACCACTGCATTAGTGTAGAAATGGTATAAATAATATCAGTGCACTTGTGAAAGAATATTAGACTCACCAGTTGACATGAATTGGACGCATGGCATGATTTGTTTACTTTTGAACTTTGCCAAAAATCGAACATTTCTGCTTCTTTGAGCTCAATTTCAAGGTACTTTTCATTGTGAAACCAATAAACATCATCTCAATTTCTGTAATACGTCTTCCATTCTATAAAATGAGACCAGGAAAACTAGAATACAACCATAAATAACATACGAAAATACAATGCAAAGTCGCCGTTTTAAACCAAAAACACCGTCAAAGTTTTTTTTTTCTCATCACGCATTGTGTGCTGCAGGATTTTTTTTATACTGCGCACACTGACCACATAGACCCATTCTTTCATATGTAGGCCTACCAGCTTTCTCTGCTAGATTTAAAGGTGCTAGAATTTAAGCGTACTAGTACGTCGGAAACCCTGAAAGGGTTAAAAAAAAAAATACAATTTTCAGGTTGTTCCCTAATCTGTGGTACCATAAAAATAAATTAACCTTATTACTAGCGTACTACAAATCATACTATCAAAACTCATCACCTGACCTGAATGTTGCCAGTATCAGTAGCACATGTGAAGTGAGTGTAGATTTCTTTCTGATCCTTCCGCTTGTTAAGATTCTCAAACTTCATGCGAATATAGTTGGCAGATTCATCGTATGTATTGCTGCCTGCAGGGTGACAATTAAATTTATTTTTATTATAAACAGCTAAATTAATTAAGCAGGCTCATTTGCATTTTCTCATACATGACTGGAAAAATGTATGATGAGACGTTATGGAAGTTTTCACTATTTTTTCTTATGAGCAATTAACAAATACATGTATTCTAATCTACAGAAAAATTCTCTTGCCATAATTCTCTAAATCTATATTATAAATGATGTGATATAAATTATAAAAAAAATCAATATCACAATTTTTGGAAATCTTTATTTTTAGCCATTATTTTTTAACATACTTTAGAGCTAAATATTATTACAAAACTTACTCAGAGTATTTGTACAACAAAAACAACCTTGCCAAAAGCTTATGTACAAACCCCCGTTTAACCTAATTCACTATGAAAAGTATTGGAAGGGCTGTATACATACACCCTAATCTCAACAAAGTTCCTTAAGACCAGTGAGGGTCTCTTCATCCAAGGAATTGGCTTTGACCTCCCCTTCCTTGGATCAAACTATTTCTCCCATTCTTCGAGACGCTGTACGACCCCTACAGGTTTAGGGTCCCCAATGAGTAATAATATACAACCTTCTCTAACCTAACCCAAGACAGTAGGTCATGATCTGGCCATTAGAGAAAAAATGTAATAAATTTTCAAGACTGGGTTCCAGATCTAACCATACAGTCTTCCCCATTTATGAACAGGTTCGGTTCCAAGCAGCCGTTCGTAAGTCCAACATATGTACTGGGGGTATAATAATCACAAATAACACTGAATTTGTGGAGAGAGCACAAGCACATGGATGAACAATGCAGCTAGAGTAACCTACTATGTATTGTTTACATCTTAGCACTTCCAACAAAATGTTTGTATTATCAAAAGTTCGCAACACGAATGTTTGTATGTAGGGGAGTCACTGTATTGAGATTAACCATTTTCAATGAAAGACCTAATAAAAGATAAGCTTGATGTGTAGACTTCTGGATATGCATGTTTTTAGTGAGGCTCAGGTTAGGGTATGTAGGCCTTAGACAAGGATGTATGATGTCACAATGATTGTTAAACATATTTAAAGAAGGAGCTGTAAAAGACACGAATGCTTAGGTGTTAGGAAGAGACGTGGGATTAAAAGATAAAGAATCTAATACAAAGCGGAAGTTGTCACAGTTGATTTTTTGCCGATGACAGTTTTTAAGGAAATTCTCGATTAGGTGCAAAGGTTGATATTTAAATTTGGGAGAATATTTAAAAAAAAAAAAAAAAAGGACATTAAAAGTGAACATAGAAAAAAGCAAGGTGATGAGTAACAAAAAATTTAGGTAATGAAAAAATGGATATCATACTGGAAGGAGAGAGTAAAGAGGAAGTGAATGTGTTCAGATATTTGGGGGTTGACTTGTCAGCAGACATGGTATGAAAGATGAGGTGAACTAAAGAAGTGACAAAGTGAAAAAATGGGTGGTGAAACGAGGCATATGTGGAGACGAATGTTATCCATGCAGGCAAAAGGGGAAATTTATCCAAGTACAGTTGTACCAACACTCTTATATGGGTGTAAAGCAGGGGTTTTGAGCTTTGCTTTGGAAGAGGAAGCTGGAGGCAGTGATGTCATGGCTGACAGAAATGTGTGGTGTGAATATTATGTAGAGAATTCATAGCCTGCCGATTACAAGGTCTGGGGTTACTAAAGGTATTATCCAGAGGGCTGATTAGTTGAGGTGGTTTGGACATTTAGAAAGGATGGAGAAAAATAGAAGGCTTGGAGGGTGTATAAATCTGTATTGCAGGGAAAGAGGGCAAAGGATCATCCTTGGAATGGTTGAAGGGAGAGGGTAATGTTAGTTTTTGTACACAAACGGCTTGGAAATTCAACAGGCATGTGTGAGCATGTTAGGAGTGGAGGCAAGTGGTTGTTATGATGTGGTGTTGGAGTGTGAGCATGGTAACATTCATGCAGAGATTCAAGAAACTGGTTAATTGGACTTCAGTCCTAAGATGGCTAGTAAAGTGCCTGCATACTGAAGGGGTGGGGATACTGCAGTTTGGAGGGACATCTAAGCTGTAGTATCAGGCAGCATCTAGCAAGACAGTGATGGAGAATGATGGTGAAGATGTTTCTTCTTATTCAGGACACCCTACCTTGGTGAAAGATGGCCAGTGTGTTAAAATAAAACTAATTTCCATTTGCAAATCAAAGGAATATTTTTTTATTATTATTATCATCACACTGGCCGATTCCCACCAAGGCAGGGTGGCCCGAAAAAGAAAAACTTTCACCATCATTCACTCCATCACTGTCTTGCCAGAAGGGTACTTTACACTACAGTTTTTAAACTGCAACATTAACACCCCTCCTTCAGAGTGCAGGCACTGTACTTCCCATCTCCAGGACTCAAGTCCGGCCTGCCGGTTTCCCTGAACCCCTTCATAAATGTTACTTTGCTCACACTCCAACAGCACGTCAAGTATTAAAAACCATTCGTCTCCATTCACTCCTATCAAACACGCTCACGCACGCCTGCTGGAAGTCCAAGCCCCTCGCACACAAAACCTCCTTTACCCCCTCCCTCCAACCTTTCCTAGGCCGACCCCTACCCCGCCTTCCTTCCACTACAGACTGATACACTCTTGAAGTCATTCTGTTTTGCTCCATTCTCTCTACATGTCCGAACCACCTCAACAACCCTTCCTCAGCCCTCTGGACAACAGTTTTGGTAATCCCGCACCTCCTCCTAACTTCCAAACTACGAATTCTCTGCATTATATTCACACCACACATTGCCCTCAGACATGACATCTCCACTGCCTCCAGCCTTCTCCTCGCTGCAACATTCATCACCCATGCTTCACACCCATATAAAAGTGTTGGTAAAACTATACTCTCATACATTCCCCTCTTTGCCTCCAAGGACAAAGTTCTTTGTCTCCACAGACTCCTAAGTGCACCACTCACCCTTTTCCCCTCATCAATTCTATGATTCACCTCATCATTCATAGACCCATCCGCTGACACGTCCACTCCCAAATATCTGAATACATTCACCTCCTCCATACTCTCTCCCTCCAATCTGATATCCAATCTTTCATCACCTAATATTTTTGTTATCCTCATAACCTTACTCTTTCCTGTATTCACTTTTAATTTTCTTCTCTTGCACACCCTACCAAATTCATCCACCAATCTCTGCAACTTCTCTTCAGAATCTCCCAAGAGCACAGTGTCATCAGCAAAGAGCAACTGTGACAACTCCCACTTTATGTGTGATTCTTTATCTTTTAACTCCACGCCTCTTGTCAAGACCCTCGCATTTACTTCTCTTACAACCCCATCTATAAATATATTAAACAACCACGGTGACATCACACATCCTTGTCTAAGGCCTACTTTTACTGGGAAATAATTTCCCTCTTTCCTATGTACTCTAACTTGAGCCTCACTATCCTCGTAAAAACTCTTCACTGCTTTCAGTAACCTACCTCCTACATCATACACCTGCAACATCTGCCACATTGCCCCCCTATCCACCCTGTCATACGCCTTTTCCAAATCCATAAATGCCACAAAGACCTCTTTAGCCTTATCTAAATACTGTTCACTTATATGTTTCACTGTAAACACCTGGTCCATACACCCCCTACCTTTCCTAAAGCCTCCTTGTTCATCTGCTATCCTATTCTCAGTCTTACTTTTAATTCTTTCAATAATAACTCTACCATACACTTTACCAGGTATACTCAACAGACTTATCCCCCTATAATTTTTGCACTCTCTTTTGTCCCCTTTGCCTTTATACAAAGGAACTATGCATGCTCTCTGCCAATCCCTAGGTACCTTACCCTCTTCCATACATTTATTAAATAATTGCACCAACCACTCCAAAACTATATCCCCACCTGCTTTTAACATTTCTATCTTTATCCCATCAATCCTGGCTGCCTTACCCCCTTTCATTTTACCTACTGCCTCACGAACTTCCCCACACTCACAACTGGCTCTTCCTCACTCCTACAAGATGTTGCTCCTCCTTGCCCTATACACGAAATCACAGCTTCCCTATCTTCATCAACATTTAACAATTCCTCAAAATATTCCCTCCATCTTCCCAATACCTCTAACTCTCCATTTAATAACTCTCCTCTCCTATTTTTAACTGACAAATCCATTTGTTCTCTAGGCTTCCTTAACTTGTTAATCTCACTCCAAAACTTTTTCTTATTTTCAACAAAATTTGTTGATAACATCTCACCCACTCTCTCATTTGCTCTCTTTTTACATTGCTTCACCACTCTCTTAACCTCTCTCTTTTTCTCCATATACTCTTCCCTCCTTGCATCACTTCTACTTTGTAAAAACTTCTCATATGCTAACTTTTTCTCCCTTACTACTCTCTTTACATCATCATTCCACCAATCGCTCCTCTTCCCTCCCGCACCCACTTTCCTGTAACCACAAACTTCTGCTGAACACTCTAACACTACATTTTTAAACCTACCCCATACCTCTTCGACCCCATTGCCTATGCTCTCATTAGCCCATCTATCCTCCAATAGCTGTTTATATCTTTCCCTAACTGCCTCCTCTTTTAGTTTATAAACCTTCACCTCTCTCTTCCCTGATGCTTCTATTCTCCTTGTATCCCATCTACCTTTTACTCTCAGTGTAGCTACAACTAGAAAGTGATCTGATATATCTGTGGCCCCTCTATAAACATGTACATCCTGAAGTCTACTCAACAGTCTTATCTACCAATACATAATCCAACAAACTACTGTCATTTCGCCCTACATCATATCTTGTATACTTATTTATCCTCTTTTTCTTAAAATATGTATTACCTATAACTAAACCCCTTTCTATACAAAGTTCAATCAAAGGGCTCCCATTATCATTTACACCTGGCACCCCAAACTTACCTACCACACCCTCTCTAAAAGTTTCTCCTACTTTAGCATTCAGGTCCCCTACCACAATTACTCTCTCACTTGGTTCAAAGGCTCCTATACATTCACTTAACATCTCCCAAAATCTCTCTCTCCTCTGCATTCCTCTCTTCTCCAGGTGCATACACGCTTATTATGACCCACTTCTCGCATCCAACCTTTACTTTAATCCACATAATTCTTGCATTTACACATTCATATTCTCTTTTCTCCTTCCATAACTGATCATTCAACATTACTGCTACCCCTTCCTTTGCTCTCTCTCAGATACTCCAGATTTAATCCCATTTATTTCCCCCCACCAAAACTCCCCTACCCCCTTCAGCTTTGTTTCGCTTAGGGCCAGGACATCCAACTTCTTTTCATTCATAACATCAGCAATCATCTGTTTCTTGTCATCTGCACTACATCCATGCACATTCAAGCATCCCAGTTTTATAAAGTTTTTCTTCTTCTCTTTTTTAGTAAATGTCTACAGGAGAAGGGGTTACTAGCCCATTGCTCCCGGCATTTTAGTCGCCTCATACGACACGCATGGCTTACAGAGGAAAAATTCTTTTCCACTTCCCCATGGACAATAGAAGAAATAAAGAAGAACAAGAGCTATGTAGAAAAAGGAGAAAAACCTAGATGTATGTATATATATATGCATGTGCATGTCTGTGAAGTGTGACCAAAGTGTAAGTTGGAGTAGCAAGATATCCCTGTTATCTAGCATGTTTATGAGACAGAAAAAGACACCAGCAATCCTAGCATCATGCAAAACAGTTACAGGTTTCTGTTTCACAGTCATCTGGCAGGACGGTAGTACTTCCCTGGGTGGTTGCTGTCTACCAACCTACTACTCTTATAAAATATTCTACACAATACTAATTTTTGGTTACTCACCAACCATTTTACACCTAGGAAGGGTGACCCAACGAAGTAACATGCAGCATCATTCCTTTCCTATCTTCATTTCCAGAAATACATAGATGTACAATAGTACCCCCGTTTCCACAGGGAATAAGTTCGAAGACCTACCGCGGATACCAGAAACCATGGCCACCAGAGAACCTTATATTTAAGTAATTTTTTGTTTACATACATACCTATGATAAAATTTAATTAATAAATTATGCACAATAAGTCAAGAATTAGCACTTTTTCACTGATGGGAAGTACTTTACAACTTCTTAGACTTTGAAGAATTGTCACCATCACTACTTTTGCACCTTGGTGTCGTTATTAAACAAAATTAAGGGTTATTTTTGGGCCAGGGTAAACTGCAGATAAATGAAACTGTAGAAACCAGACCTGCAGATTTAGTGGTCCTACTGTAATAGCTAAATATCCACCTGCTTTCATTCTAAGCCCTGGAATTCATTACCAAAACTAGTCCAGCTAGCTGGTTTTCCAGAATACCTTTACAGATAATTCTGCACACACACACATGCATGAGCAGTTAATCTTTTGCCATGTTTCTCAAGAAATTTGTGTAGGATCTTTGCTGTGGAAACCTCAGCCAAGTACTAACAGTTAAATGTGTATAGCTTTTCACAGGTCTGGATATGTAATTTCAGTTTTCATTGGACGTTATTATCTATAGTCCCCATACACTTCATGCCCACATACCTTGGTACTCTGGGAAACAAATAGTCAATAGTGATTTCGTAATCTTTTCTTCAAAGAGATCTTTCTTGTTTAGGAAGAGAATTATTGAAGTCTCCACAAACCATTTGTTATTGCAAATGGAGTCAAAGAGTTTCATACTCTCAATCATCCTGTTCATTTCTTCATCCTCTGCTAGAACCAAATCATAACCTGCAAATATCAAAGGAAAAACTCAATCTGCTTAAAAATGAAAAAATATATTTGACAGTATTCCTTCGAGGAGATGAGACCTCTAGTTCTTCGAGTTTACAATAATGTTATTACAATTTCAAAAGACATGAGAATCATAGTAAGCACCATTTTTTGTTTTTAGGATGCCACCCATGAAAGCATTAATAAAATTCATTACATTTAGTAATACACTACCGACAAATCATTCACAATTATAAAATTATTGAGTGTAAAGTCATGAAAAACTTATTTACCTGATAAAGCAACAACAAATATGATGGCTGTAACTCCCTCAAAGCAGTGGATCCACTTTTTCCTCTCTGATCTTTGACCACCTACATCAAACAATCTGGAATCAAACATTCGATTTAGAACAATGGTTAACTTTAGGAAAATTCAAGACAAACTAAATACATAAAAATACAACCTGCATATGCTACATCTACAATATATATATACTGTATTACCTGAAGCAGAGCTTTGCAAAAGCAAGAAACTCTAACACTAACAACCATGGAATATAGTGGGGGCCTACAACTTATGTTAATGTGTTCTTGAGAATTATTCTTAATTCCATTGTTTGAAACTCAGAACCTATTTTCCCATAGACACTTGCATTATGAATGGAGATGTGTTCCTGAACAATAATATTTCACATCTAATTTAATGTATTTTCAAGAAAAATTATCCAACCTTTTACATCAAGGACTGTTTTACACTTACAGATAGTATTATGCACTGTTTCACTAATGTATACATGAAAATTAAGCAGAACAGAACTACAATACAGGAGAGTACAGATATGTACAAAGGAACAGGCTGCCACTGGACTATTGTCCTCTCTCAGCCACTCTCATCCTCTCACATAATATCCAAGACAATACTCCTTTCACATGGTCAGCATTTCCTCAATTCTTTGGGTAAATGTGAGGTGTGGGATAAGTGGGGTGAAAGAGGAGTAGGGGCAGGGAGCAGTTGGACTACTTAACTCACTTTCTCATTCACTTCCACCCTCTTTTGCATCATACTGAATTTAGGTCTCTTACATATGCTCACCACTTTTTCGTTGTTTAACAAAAAATTATGTGCCTGGGCATGTAGTGTGGGAAGGTAGCAGTGAGGAAAATTTTGTGAGGGAACTGTAGCATGAGCTTCCATTGTCCTGGCCACACACACTAGCAAACTCAGAATGCTGGAAGCAGCTACCACAGCCCCAAAACAATTATTTAATCTACAGTTTTTAACCATTCTACCATGAAGTCTCCACACAAGCATAAAAAAGAAGATACACAATAGCAATGTATTTGATAAAAACTAAGTTTAGCATTAAGAAAATAATAAATATTAAATCTATAGTTCTTGACCAATCTCTATCAAACAAATGAGAGATCTATACATACATAAACAAACATACACAAAGTGCCATAGTGCTATGTCTTAAACCAGGATCAGTGCTGTAGTTCTATGCCATGAGCTCAATTCACTCAGATAAGTTTTAAGTGGTAAATATGGGCCTAGACATGAGAGAATGTATCTATGTGGTAAGAGTGCACCATATAAAAAAATCCTGCAGCACGTAGTGCACGAGGAAAGTAAAAACCTGTATCAGGGTATACCACAAATTCTAACCATACAATAGAGCAAAAAAGTAATGTGAAGGATCTGGGAGTGATAACGTCAGAGGACCGCACCTTCAAAGATCACAACAATATATTTACAGCATCTGTTATGAAAATGATAGGATGGATAATAAGAACCTTCAAAACTAGGGATGCCAAGCCCATGATGATTCTCTTCAAATCACTTGCTCTCTCTCTCTCTCAGCTGGAATACTGCTGTACACTAACTGCCCCCTTCAAGGCAGGCAAAATTGCTGACCTGGAGAGTGTACAAAGAAATTTCATGGCACACATAAGTACAATAAGGCACCTAAATTACTGGGAACAGTACCTTGATTTGTATTCCTTGGAATGCAGGCAAGAGAGATACTGATAATAAACACTTGGAAAATCCTAGAAGGATTAGTACCAAACTTGCACATGAAAATCACTCCCTGTGAAAGCAAAAGACTCGGCAGGAGATGCAGCATTCCCCCAATGAAAAGCAGGGGCGCCCCAAGTACAATGAGAGACAACACATTAAGTGTCAGGGGCCCAAGACTGTTCAACTGGCTCCCAGCATACATAAGGGGGATTACCAATAGATCCCTGGCTGTCTTCAAGAAGGCACTGGAGAGGCACCTAAAATCAGTACACCACCAGCCAGGCTGTGGTTCATACGTCAGTTTGTGTGCGGCCAGCAGTAAATGCCTGGTTGATCAGACCCTGATCCACCACGAGGCCTGGTCTCAGACCGAGCCATGGGGGTTGTTGACCCCCAAAACCCCCTTCAGGTGTACTCCAGGTGCCTTTGGATTAAAACGGCGACTTTCCAGTGTAATTTTGTATGGCTTTTACGGTTGTATTCATGGTTTCTTGGTCTCATTTGACAGAATGGAAGATATATTATAGAAATAGAAATTATTTTGATTGGCTTTTATGAGTGAAAATAGCTTGAAACTGAGCTCGAAGTAGCGGAAATGTTTGATTTTTGCCGATGTTCAAGAATAAACAAATCACATCACGCTTCTAATACAGGTCAGTTGGTGGGTCTAATATGCGTTCATGAATGCACTGATGTTATTTATACAATTATTACAATATTGCATAACAGTAAATCTTCTATTTTTTGGTGTGAATAAAAAATCAGAATGGAATTCAGGTGTAAAGCCTGGAAATGTTAACTAATAAACAGAGGAAATGTTATTTTAGTGCCAGCATTGTTTATTCTGGACTATTTTGAAATTGGAATTTTTTTTAATTTGTGAAATTGGCCAAATTACCAATTTCTGATGACCTTATTGGGTAGTTGAAATAGTTGACTTGGCATTTTCTTGTACTCAACTGATAAAACAGAAAGCATACTAGTGAAATAGCTAAGAATTTGGTCGACTGGAACAATGTAACTGGCCTACAATAGGAGTCAAAGTGGGCAAAATTGCTGATGCATAAATATTGCTGATGCAGGAAAACTCATAACATAATTTCGTCAATTTTCCATCAAATTTTATACTTTTTTTTTATTACCACCAGATAAAGATTCTCTACCACTTCATAAGAAAAAATAATTTTTTTTTTTTTTTTAAATTTTGGACCCTGTGGACAAGTTTCAGATCAGGGGTGTGGACCCTGAATGGGTTAAGATAATTTCTGAGAGTATTTGCAATTATCAAAACAGCAGACCAGCATCTGTAAGTAACCACTGTAATTGGTTACAAAGTGTCAATATTGAAGTGTGTAACATCATACATCAGAACATCTGAAATTAGGGACCTACTGGATTTTAATTATGGACAGATAATTTTATGCATAAAAAAGCATTTAACCCTTTGAAGGTCACAACCCCAAACAGGTCTCAAAATTTTCGAAAAAAAAAAAAAAACTTACGAAATGATAGAGAATCTTGCCCTCATGTTAATGACACCAAAAGTACAAAACTTGATGGAAATCTCATGGAATTACACTCTCGCGAAGTTAGTGATCTCGGCGATATTTACGCATTGGCAATTTCGCCCACTTTGAGCCTTATTTTTGGCCAACTGCATTGTTTCAGTCTACCAAACTCATAGCTATTTCTTTAAAACTCCATTTGTTCTGTCAATTGAGTACGAGAAACCGCCCATTTACCAATTACAGCTACCCAATAAAGTAGTCAAATTCGCAGTTTGGCCAATTTCACGCAAATTAAAAAAGATGCCAATTTCAAAATAGGGTCAAGAATAAACAATAAAGTCACGTCTCCAGGCCCCTCTTATATTACTCGTTAACCCTTTGAGGGTCAACAGGCCCTCTCCGAAACTTGTTCTCAGGGTCGGCCAAATTTAAAAAAAAAAAAAATAATTTTCTCTTGTGAAAAGATAGAGAATCTTTTCCCGATCATAAGGACACCAAAAGTTTGAAATTTGATGGAAAACTTATGGAATTATGCTCTCGCGAAGTTAGCGGTCTCGGCGATGTTTACGCATCGGCGATTTTGCCCACTTTGAGCCCCATTTTCAGCCAATTTCACTGTACTAGTTGACAAAAAACATGAATATTTCGCTAGAACTCCATTTTTTCTATCGAATGGGTGCAAGAAACCACCCATTTATGAAATTCAACTATCCAGTACAGTGGTCAGAATTTAGCAATTTTGCCAATTTCAAAAGATGCCAATTTCCGAATAGGTCCAGAATAAACAAGAAAGACATTCCTGGCACTATAATGACATTTCCTCTGGTCATTAGTCACGTCTCAAGGCCTCTCTTATATTCTTTTGCTTTCCACTTTGAATTTTTATTCTCACAAAAAATATAAGATTTACTGTTATGCAGACTACTGCATTAGTGTAAAAAATGGTATAAATATTATTGGCGCACTTGTGAAAGAATATTAGACTCGCCAGTTGACGTGTATTGGACGCTTGGCACGATTTGTTTACTTTTGAAATTTGGAAAAAATCGAACATTTCTGCTACTTTGAGCTCAATTTCAAGGTACCTTTCATTGTAAAACCAGTCAAAATCATCTCAATTTCTGTAATATGTCTTCCATTCTATAAAATAAGACCAAGAAAACTAGAATACAACAATAAAAACCATACGAAAATACAGTGCAAATTCGCTGTTTTATTCCAAAAAAACCGTCAAAGTTTTTTTTTTTTCTCATTATTCGCTGTGTGCTGCAGGATTTTTTTTAGATTGTGCACACTGACCACATAGACCCATTCTTTCATACGAAGGCCTACCAGCTTTCTCCCACTAGATTTGAGGGCGCTAGAATTTAGGCGTACTAGTACGTCAAAAACCCTGGGTCGTAAGCCGTACTAGTACGTCCGAAACCCTCAAAGGGTTAAGTAAAAGGACACAAATGCAACTTTTTTTCTTTCAACGTACCAGCCGTATCCCGCTGAGGTGGGGTGGCCCAAAAGGAAAAAAGCAAGTTTCTCCTTTCAAATTTAGTAATATATACAGGAGAAGGGGTTACTAGCCCCTTGCTCCCGGCATTTTAGTCGCCTCTTACAACATGCATGGCTTACGGAGGAAGAATTCTGTTCCACTTCCCCATGGAGAAATGCAACTAATGTGACATTTTATTGTGGCAACTTTTCGCTCTCCAGGAGCTTTATCAAGCCATTACTCTTGCTTTCTATTTTGAATTTTTATTCACACAAAAAATAGAAGATTTACTCTTATGCAGACTACTGCATTATTGTAATAATTGTATAAATAATGTCAACCCATTCATGACTGTGTATTAAAATGATTAGTTGA